AGGCATGCATTATAAGCGTCTAGAAATAATGTTGGAGCTGCTTTTATGATGGTTTTTAAGACTAAATTAGTGATTTTGTCCAATCCCGGCGCTTTATTATTCCCTACGCGGTTACAGGCCTCCAGCAGTTCTTTTTCAGTGACAGGTGGAGTGTCGTTCAGTTCACCTGGTGCCAACTGGTAGTCGAAGTTGCGTTGCTGTGGGAACAGTGTGGTGACGATTTTCTGGAGAAGTTGAGGATACGTAGGTGATGGCATTTGTTGTTTTTTTAGGTGGGTCATAACCACCTTATAAGGCCTTCCCCAAATGTCTTTATCCACCTCGTTGATGAGCTCTTTCCAGCATTGTCTCTTACTATGATCGACGGGCTTTTTTGTATTCTGCGATCAGCTCCGCAGGGTTAGGTCGTCGATAGCCACGCTGGGATATTCTTCTTTTCTTTAGACACTCTTTCCGAAGCACACTGATGTGGTCGTTCCACCAGTGTACTGCCGGGCGTTGGCTTATGCTGTGTTTCCGGACCATACTGGTGTCACAGGCCTGCACAACTCTTTTCATCATGTCCTTGGTCATTTCTTCTGGGGATCCAGCAGTAATCGGTTCACTATTAAGGGCTTTCCATCCAATGGTATTGAGTGACTTGGTTGGTCTTCTTGTGTTCCGGTCATGTGATATTTCTCAGAGAATTGCCTTGTGGTCACTGGCTGTGTAGGTATCCATCACCTTTCAGTCGTATTTCCCACTGGTGAGACTGCTGCTGATGAAAGTGAGATCTACGATAGAGCTTGCTTTTCCTTTAGTATAGGTTGGCGTATCACCCCTGTTGAGCTGGACTACATCTAGTGTAGAGAAAGCTTCCAGAAGTGCTTTTTCTCGCGCATTTGTCTGCTTGCTGCCTCAGTCTACTGCTCAGGAGTTGAAGTCACCGGCAATCGCGACAGGCTGATGCTGCTTGGCGTCCTCGGTCAGTTTGTCCAAGAATTCATTGAATTCAGGAGTGGATAGGCTAGGTGGTGCATAACAGCTGTAGTAACGGGTGCCGTTAACTGTTGCTGCTACATAGCCGGCATTATCATTGTTAACTACACTCTGGAAGGGATGCTTACCACAAGACCAGATGACCGCCTTGGCGGTGCTGTCACATTCCCAAGGCTGGGTGGGTATTCAGGTGTCTGTATGGCTCTGCTATCATTACTCAGTCTAACTCTAGTTCTCTTGCTGTTTGCATAAGCAGATCATGTGCAGCTTCTCAATGGTTTAGGTTTAGCTGCAATATCTTCATGTCTGTTTATTTTTTATCTTCTGGAGTGCCTCTTGAAATACTGGGCACCTGGATGCGCCGGCATGATGCGCACTTTGGTCGGCGCATAATATACATTTCGCTGGGTTTTCGCATTCAGCAATCTTGTGTCCCTCTTGTCCGCACCTAATAGATAGCTTAGACCGATCCACGTTGCTCTTGCACTGGGATCCAAGGTGTCCAAAGTGCCAGCACTTGAAACATTGGATTGGTCTCCTCGTAGCTCTGATTCGGCAGTTGGCCCAGCCGATCCGGACTTTACCGCTTCCTGTTGTGTGTGTGTGTGTGTGTGTGTGTGTGCGTGTGTAGGTGTGCGTGTGTGTGTGTGTATGTGTGTAAACCTCTTGTAACTTTTGAACGACTTGACCGATTTCATCGCGGTTGGTGTCATTCGAAAGGGCTTCACTAAACTTAGATTTCCTGAAAATTTGAACCGATTTGAACTGGTATATTTCGAGAAAATGCAAAAAAAGTGAAAAAAAAAGTTGTTTTTTTTAATTTTTTTTAAATATCTCCGAATTGGCTGAACCGATCGGTCTCAAAATCCAATCAGCTCTTAACCTTGAAAACCCTCATCGATCGCCACCAAAAACGTTAGAATCGGTTGATGCGTTCGTGAGATATCGTTGTCGAAAAAAATATATAGAAAAATATATAGAAAATATATAGAAAAATATTTTTAATTTTGCTTACAAAAAAATTAATACGTAGCTAGAAAAAATTAATAAATATTCTAAAAAATTTTTTAATGAAATTATCTACAATTTCCCGAAGAATTCAATTATAAAATTTATTTCTACAAAAAAATGAAAATTTAAAATTAAACTAAAAATTTTGAACTTTCTTACCAGTGGCGGGCTGTTCCGTATAAACTGTATAATAATAACAATCACAATGAACGTAGCTCCAATGATAGCCAAAATAATACTGCCATAGAGCCCAGAGGTCGGTAGCATTAGCAATTGTCTCAACCCTCCAGCCATTTCATCAGTAACTCCGCCCCGGACATTGAACCAGAACATAGGGAAGAAAATTTTTGGCATGTTTTTGAAGAAGCTTATCGTCAAAGAAGGTTGGAGAAGGATATTTATTTGCAACCTAGCACCAACATCCAGAGGAATTCCCGTGTTGGGTTCCAAAGTGACGTAAAAATTGTGAATATCATCCTGGGGGTTCATTCCGGTGATTTGGTTCCTCAGAACCGGGTCCGCTTTGTGGAAATGTGGAAGACTTACGAATGCAGGGGCTCCAAAACGACAGGCTGTTATGTTCATTAATCCCATTGGTGTACACTCTCCATTGCAGTAACACCGGCCAATATTTACTACATCCGGATTATCTTCGTTTATATTTTCATTGCGAGGCGTTGTTAGATCTGCGCTGAAGAAGTCTTCAGTCGTTGTTGTTTTTTCAAAATATTTAGCTTGTTCGTGGGGATACTGCCGTTTGGTGTCGTTTCCTAGAGTTTTTTCTCCCAATGAAAATTTGTAGCCTTTTATTCCTTTGTGTATTACGTCTTCGGAGTATTCGTATGTTAGTGGCCTGAAATTATTAATATTCTATCTAATTAAGAGAATAAGAAACATACTATCTTTAATGTATTTATAAAATAAAATAGTTTTTTTTTTCTAGTTCAATTAATTATAAATGGGAAAATATTGACCTGACTTTGTGACTTTTTACCCGTGTAAAAAAAATCGTCTTAAAATTGTCTTTCGTTTAAGATCTTAAACGTGACACAAACTAAGACTATTTTAAGACTCTTTTAAGACGCCAAAAGAAAAATTCCGAGAGCAGATTTTTGAAAATTTTGTTCTCGAATTTGTTGTGAAAATTAATTTTTAGACGATTTTACGATTTTATAAGCATAATATTTTTGAGTAAGATGTTTTTAAATTGAATTAAAATTGTTAAAAAATTATTATCTGACAATTTAAAGACTTTTTTAAGACATTCCGTTTTAATGTTCCGGGGCTCTGTCGCTGTTAGCCCATCTTAAAATAGTCTAAATTTTTTTTAAGATTTTTTTTAAGACTAATTTAAGACAATTTTAAGACAATTTAAAGACGCTCCATAATAACTTTCCGGAGCTGTCACTGTGATGTCATCTGAGTGACTATTTTAAGAGTACTAGAATTTGAATTTACGCGCGCAAGCGCGCGCTTTGACTATAGAGTTTGCATATATTTTCATGCTTATGATATATTTGACCAATCACGTTACGAATAGTTTCATGCCACATACATTTCATCTCAATTTTATTATGGGACTAGAATTTAATTTTC